ATAGGATCCGAACCCGTGGCGGGAGCGCCACTGCGCTCCCAGCACCGCACTCTCCCGAGTGCGCCACAAGGCCAGCCCTATTTAACGTCATTTTCTCCAAGCTCATCCATATTGCTGCAAATGGCAGAATTTCATTCTTTTTAATGGTAGAGTAGTATTCCACTGTGTGTATATACCACATTTTCCTTATCCAGTAGTCTGTGGATGGACATTTAGGTTGGTTTCATTCTGTGACGAACATGGGAGTTTAGGTATCCCTTCAACATGATGATTTCCATTCTTTTGAAGTGGGATTGCTGGATCTAAATAGGTGTTGTTATATGAATTGTAGGGCATTTACAGGGTGACTGCACTTAGTATTAGAGAAGTAGAAATAAAGTAAACAGTCTTTATAGTACAAGTGCTCATTTCATACATCTATGCAGATATTTTACTCATTGTGCTTAAAAGTTTAGTTCTTACATAATGACTTTTCTATTCTATGTTCATGTCTTAGTTTATACACACACACAAACACACACACACAGTTTCTATATTCACTTGTTTTATCCTTTTTTCTCCTATCCTTCTCTTTTTCTTTTCTGCATGTCTCTCTGACTCTGTCCTCTTTCTATAATCTCCAGTCAGCTGTCATGCTCATCTTCTCTTATGAGTAGTCTGAACCTGTCTGCTACAGTCCATTTACAACCACTTCCTGCTCTCTTTCTCTGCTCCCCAAACCCCGTCCCAGTTATCTGTACTCATGACCTCTTAATCTCCAGCCCCTGTGACTCAGACAACAGATAGGTGTCATACTCACATCTTTGAGACATTAAAATTGAGTTTTCTCCACAAGTTCATGAAAACACCTCCATCACATTCTGATCTTTATTTCCTGGAGATCTACATATAAGTAACCACCACATATACCCATGGTTTCAGCACACTTCCACTTTACTGAGGACTTCCTAAATGTCTATTTCCCAGCTCTCTGACTATCCCCACCAATTCTTCCAAGTTACTCATATAACAAAGACACAAAAGTTCTTTCTTTTCAATGGNCCCACCAATTCTTCCAAGTTACTCATATAACAAAGACACAAAAGTTCTTTCTTTTCAATGGAACCTCCAGTACAGTAATACCTACTTTCTCCCTTTACCAGATTTTCCTTGTTGTTACTTCTCTTCATTTATAGCTGATTTTATGTTCCTTAATATGAAATACTAGCATTTCAAACACACTCTCATCATTATCCTAAGGTATGTTGTCCCACTGTCCTTTCTTGTCCCACCCTGTAAAACTTTTGATCCAACCACACATTTTTCCTTTACCTGTTACACATAGCCTGATGATTACTCCTATAGCGAATTTGTTGCTGTCAGCCTCAACTGTCAGTTGTGCTCTATGATGGATCTATTCTCCTGAAAACAGTTTTTCTTTTTAGTCCACTCTCTTCCATAATTCACAACAAGGATTTCAGATTTTCCTCATTTAATTCTTATCTTTTGCATTGGATGGGAAATACATGTCATAAAAGAAAATTGCCTTCACTCCTTTACATAGAATTTATAATTCTACCCATATTTGCAGGTTGATATTCTTTGCTTCTTCCTTCCTGTTAAAATGGAAGAGATATCCCCTGCTAAACATTCTGTATTCTGTGCTTCCCTGGGGACTTCGTTCCACTGTGATTTTCTCCCTCCTCTTTCGGCACATTCTCCTATCACTGGCACTTAAATGTGCTCAAGTTCTTCCCATTCTTAAACAATAGAAGCAATAATCGACATGTTTTGCAGTTCTCTTTTTAGAACTTTACATATCTTCCTAATTTTAATGGACAAAT